ATACTTCAAAAAAATAGGCAACAACTCAAGTGGTTAATGGCAATTTCCTTTTATTAAAAATAAAAAATCTTGCATTTAAGTTTATAACATACATCTACTATGAATATAAAAATAAAATAAAACTTTTTTTTATCATGTAATTTAAAATAAAATAGGTAGATAAAAACCGTAAGAAAAAAGAGTATATATTCATAGCTGGGGTCTGGACTGGAGTAATAGCTCATCATAAGTTAGTCAAACCTCGTGGAAGATGGATTCTACTTCTCTACCTACTTGATAAATAATTTGTTTAAAAATTCAAGTGGTTTTTTTTAACCTGGTGCTTGAATTTCAAAAATAAAAAGTTGGTAAAGCGGTACTTTTTGTTTTCTGCCTCACCTGATCTTGTGAAGGTTTTGACCACTGGGATGTTCACTCATGGGGCATGTTTAATTGTCATTTTTTTCAATTGCCATGTGTTTTTTTTTTTTTATTTTCAACATTCACAACGGTTCCTATGTGTTTAGTTCACCAAATGTAGTTTCATCGAATTAGGTTTTAGTCGATGACATATCTAACAACAGTTTAAAAAGTTAGAAGGTATAACAATTTTCCCAAAAACTGCCTACTATACTAAACATAATACTTATCTCCAAACCCATTATCCAATAGGAATAGATCCAAACTAATATAGATTAAATGTTTACTTTGGCCCTATGGCTGGTTTGGGTGGCGTACTTAGAGGGAAAAGGTTGCCCTGGAAACCACTGTTCTTTGAAAACTACAATATTAGATGTTTAATTGTAGTTAGTCAACTAAACACTTATAACCACAGACTCATTCAAAAGTGCCAACCAAATAATTCCCTAGACTTTTAACACTAATATTTGCAAAGGCCAAGTAGAACAAATTCAAACGAGCATATATGCTTCATAAGTGCAAGTATAAGCATCACTAATAAACGCCCTTTGTTTTTTGGCCATATGTATCTTGAATCTAAACAAAATTGTGAAGTTGATGAAATTCGCATCCTCTCTCAAGCCTTTTTTGGGCCAAATTCCTCCATCTAGCCTAAAATGTCACTTTATGGTATATTTATTTTGGGACTTCTTTTTATGATTTATTAAAAGATTAATTGATTTGTATCATAAAATTTTAAATTTTTTATATTGATTTCAAATCAAGATTTTTAAATTAGTAACCACTAAGTAAATCAAATTCTTGTTGGTCAAACTTTATAATATTATTGTTGTCAAAGTCTTGATAATGTCATTAAAACAAAATACTAATAAAATAGTTAAATGAGTTAGATTTACTAACACATGTAAATCTTACCTAAATTATCAGCTATTAATTTTTAAATTCAACAATTCCAAATATATTATTACTAAAGGTCTCTTGTTTTATAATTTAAATTATATTGAATTATAAAATATAGATCTTTAAATGAAAAAAAAATGTTATTATTAGAAAGTCCTCTTTAATTTAAAGACATTTATTTTGTAGTATAATACAATTTAAATTATAAAATAATTTTTTATATTATAAAATATAAAATCATTATTTTCAACTTTTAAACTTGAAAATCAATCCCTTATAATTTATACGAGGTTTCTATATACAAATGCATCTAGAGTCTAGAGTCTAGAGTCGACTAAATCCAAACTCATTTAAAGATTAAAAAGAAATCCTAAACAACTTTATTTATTGCAACTAAAAAAGTCTTACAACTTGGTCCATCAATTGCTTGTCTACGTTGGTCTTTCCCGCCACCTAAACCAAACGATCACTCTCAACAGATCATTTGAAAACTTGAGGAAGGAAATGTGGTTCACGATATCCCTTATAAATGTCCCTATTTTATCCTAATTAATGTGTAATAATTGTGTTTAAATTAATTTAATAACATTTATTAAAATAGAACACAAATTAATATAATATAAAAATAAATATAATATAATTATAATATAAAACCATGATTAGTTTATCGTTATATTTCACTAATTTAATAATTAATGGTTTATTTAAGGCTGAAGAAACCCGATTTTACAAGGCAAGAAAAAAAAAAAAAAGACTGTCTTAAACACGAAAAGACGACAAAAAAAAGAAAAACCGTAAAATTAGCTCACCGTTGCCAGACTCCGGACACTTCCCCAGATCTTCACCAAATGCTCAAATCCTCTCCTCATCCCCACCGCTCTACATATTTCCCCTTTTGCCTCTCCATCCATCGCTCCCATCCGCCGCCTCTCCGCCACCACCACCGTCATTTCCGCCGTCGCAGTAGAAATCTATGTATAGAAAAGCAACAATCTTAGGGTTTCTCGGTTCGGGACTCCATCCTTGGTGCCGGTTAATAAAGATAGCAATTTAGATAAATGCTGGTCCCTGGAATTCTGGGGTTCCAGAGTATTGTAGTGGGGTTGCTGCTGATTCTTTGCCTGGTAATCCGACGGAAGTGGAGGAATGCGGCGGAGAGGAAGGAGGAAGTGAGGAGGCTCCTCGCTATGGCCTCCCAGGAAGCTGTCATGGTGGAGGCCCAATCTATGGCTGAGTACTCCGGCTACCTGAAGCCGTACCAATGTGCTGTCTGCTTTTGTCCCACAACTACGCGTTGCTCCCAGTGCAAATCTGTTCACTACTGGTTCGTTTCTTTCTGTTCTCTTTATTTTGATCTCAAAGTTCTTTGCATGCAAATAGTGTCTTTTTGTTTGCCTCATAACTCCATTAGGAGTAAGAGCTACTGATACTTTATATGGCAGCAATTCTGTATGTTAAGCAGGATTGCAGACTTTTTTTCTTTTTTTTTATGCAATTTTAATTGTCAATCGAACGAGCTGATAAGGGAGATATCAATTCTAGAAGGTGGTCACAGTGATGCCTTAAATCAAAATAGTTTTCACAATATGATTCATCGAACCCCATATATCATCTAGTTGTTATATTTTGTTACTTCTTTAAAAGTAGAGTGATTTTGACTAGTTCTTCAATTCTAAACTAGTTGCTTTTGCTCAATTGAATTTTTTATCTCAGCTATCTGGTTGGCTGCATTAACTTTTTTGTTACTAATTTATGAGTCATATTCCAATGATGGAATGAAAGGTTGCATGCAGGCGTTCATTATAATTATGTTTTTGGTAGTGCTTGGTCAACCTTCTCCATACCAGCATAATCCCATATGTAGCTCTTTGAGTGTTATCTTTTGCTTGTTAGCATGCTCACTATAGGAGTCCATACATGGTATGTCTTCAGTGGGGTAAAATAGAAAGGGTACTAGTCAAAAAATAAATGTTTTATCGTTGTTTATATCCTGGTTGAGCTAGAATTCAATTATTGAAATTGTTAAGCGATTCATTACTTAGCAGGTTATTTACTTGTTAAGATTAAGTAGAGGAAAGTCGCATATCAGAGAGTTATTGGGAAACTTGTGGCCTTAATCATTTTGTGTGCGTGGCGTAAGGGTGGTTGTTGCAGCCCAGTTGTGTAGGATCCAAAATACAGTTGCCAGGAATTGTCAGGGGATGATGAGTCCCACATCAGAGTGTTAAGGGGAAACGCATGCTCTTAAATACAATGTGAACTACTCCTATAGCCTTTTGGTTTTAGGTTAGATGTTTACAAATAACACTACTTACACCATTTACAAATTAACTAATGTAGATAAATGCATCTTCTTACAAATACCATTTGTAGCCTCTTCTGGATATGCAGTTCTAACTGCTTTGCATCTTTTTGCCTCTTTCTGTAGTCTTGACTAATAAACTCCTTCTCATGTAGTTCTGGTAAGTGTCAAATTATTCACTGGAGACAAGGTCACAAGGATGAATGCCATCCACGAACTGATCTTCCAACACAAAAACAGTTTAGAATTTATGGTGATGATTCAGGACTGGAAGGTGAATTTAAGGCATCTCCTAAAGCTTCACTGCTGGAAGGTGAGGATGATGATGGTGAACATGCCAGGGGTATACCTATGAAGTTTGCAACATCTAGTGCCTCACCGTTGGCTGATACCACTGTTTCTAATGATTTTGCTCCTGATATGCCTAAAAGTGCTGCTAGACCTCAGTATAAAAGAGAAGCTATTTTACATTCTTCAAGGTCTGAGATTGATCATGTGGATAATATGAGTGATCTTAGCAAGAAGAATAAGTTGGTTCATAATGATGAAGAGGTTGAATTTAGAATGCGGCTTGGAAATAAGACTCTAATGGATGATGTCCATCCCACAAAAGAGATGAATAAGAACTTGGTTAAAGAAACTTCATCTGAAATGTTAGTTGCTGAAGCATCCAAGAAAAAGAGCTTACCCTCCTCAAGCCTTTCAAGGCCACATTTTGTAACCAATGATAGAGAAGATAAAAATGCCAGACATTCCTCATGTAATGCCACTAGTGATCATCCATCTTCAGCTGCAAGAGGTCATCTGATTACCAGTTCCAATTCTGCAACAACTGCAAATTGTAATGATCTCCCCAGCTTGCCACAAACTGCATGTAATGGCTTAAAAACATCTATGCGGAAAGTCGTACAGCAGTTTAGATCCTCAAAACAGTCAAAGTCCTATCTTTTAGGTTCTGAAAATGAGGTTACTGGAAAATACAATTGCAAGGTAATCCCCATATGTATTTGTCTTTGTTTAGAGCCTTACAGTTTCCAACTTTGTTTTGTAAGAATTGAGTTTGTTTATGTTCTGACAGATAATTTTTCCATATGAACTTTTCGTGGAACTTTACTCATATGATGCAGTGGAGCTATGCCCATTTGGCCTTACAAATTGTGGAAACAGGTGCCGTTCAGTTCTTTGACTTATTTCAGCGATTATGCTGCCTGTTCATTATTCAGTGTTTAGCATTCAGAGCACTTATTAAGGTGTCTAGAATGCATCTATTGATTTAATTTCTGCTTTTGTGTGCTGAAATGCACACTTCTCCTTACTCTGAATAAAGTCATGCGCTTTGTGCTTGATTTTTGGCATTCTCTTTTTATTTTGCCAGATCCTTTTTTCCCTTTTTTTTTTTTAAATTTTATTTTACCAAAACCTCATCCATGATTCAGTAATTATTTGTTCCCTCAGTTTTAGTGAGTTTATGTTTCTATTTGTTAGTGCTCAAGTTTCTGGTTTCTCAAATTTGCTTTGAAATTTCTGCAGTTGTTATGCTAATGCGGTGCTTCAAAGTCTGGCTTTTACTCGGCCACTTACTTCCTACCTTGTACGAGGGCTCCATTCTGGATCATGCAAGTTTCCATCCATGGACCTTTTTCTGGGTTCAAAATTATATAGCTCTCTATATAGCTTAGTATCTTGGCTGTGAGTTTGATTGCTGTCCTCTTTTGTAATTGTTTATCTTCTTATGCAGGTCGAAAGAAAGATTGGTGCTTCATCTGTGAGTTTGAATGTTTAATTTTGAAGGCCAGGGAAGGGGAGTCACTTCTGTCACCAATCAGAATATTGTCCAAAATACAAAAAATAGGAAGCCATCTTTCTCATGGGAAGGAGGAAGATGCCCATGAATTTTTGAGGTGAACTTGCTCTTAAAATTATTTTCTCTGTTATGCTATTTTGATATCTATTTTGCACCTTCTCAAATGTGAATTAGACATCAATTAGTGAGATGGCAGGTATGCTGTTGATGCAATGCAATCTGTTTGCCTCAAGGAAGCAGGAGCTGTGGGTCCATCAGCAGAAGAGACAACTCTAGTGGGTCTGACTTTTGGGGGATATCTTCGTTCTAAGGTTTCTAATTATTTTAATGCTATTTCACTTATCGATTTTTTTAATGGAAACTGATTTTTATATTGCTGTATACAAGTGATGGTGATTTAACACATGATTTAACAATTGAGATATTGTGATTGGGGTCCTCAGATAAAGTGCATGAAGTGCCTTGGAAAATCTGAAATATTGGAGCGGATGATGGATCTAACTGTTGAGATTGATGGGAACATTGGAACTCTTGATGAGGCCCTTACTCAGTTTACAGCTACTGAGATCTTGGATGGGGATAACAAATATTACTGCAGCAGGTTTCTTTGTTTGTTACTTTGCCATTTCATTATTAGTTTAAGCAGACTTATTGGTTTTGGTCATTGTGTGATGTGCTACATGGTAGTGTGTGTTTGTATGTATTTTTGCGAAATGAAATAGGACCGTGCTTTGTCCTAATTCTGGTATGAGGTATCCTCGAGTCTCTTCCTTCCTATTTTCCTCCTTAACATAACAAAAGATCCTGTATAAAATTTGTGACATTGAAATCATGCATGGACTAGTGTCTCTGGTAATGGTGCTTTAATGGTACCACTTTTGGGTTTGCAAATAAGAATCTTTCTCAGCCATTTATAGCTTGTTGTTAGCTCTCCTTGCCCTTCTGATCTTTTGTGTTTTATGGCTCTTCTTTTCCCAGTTTTTAGGATTTATATGAAGTAAATTGTTCATCACTTGACCAGGTGTAAATCCTATGTGAAAGCTAAAAAGAAGTTGACGGTATCAGAGGCGCCAAACATTCTTACTATAGTTTTAAAGCGGTTTCAGGTAATGAATGCTTTGCTGCAAAGCTCAAAATTTTTGCCCTTCAGCCCCTTCCACATGTTTTTTGAATGTTAACTCTTCACCATCTGGTCTTTGCAGTCTGGAAACTTCGAGAAGTTGAATAAGTCAATTCGTTTTCCTGGGGTCCTCAACATGGACCCCTATATGAGTGGAACAACTGATAAGTCAAATGTCTACAGTCTCTATGCAGTTGTTGTTCATTTAGACGTCATGAATACTGCAGTTTCAGGTCATTATGTGTGTTATGTGAGGGATTTCCGTGGAGGGTGGTTCAGGATTGATGACAGCACGGTAGGTTCTTTTTCTCAGAAGCATGTGTAGGATGATATAGCTATGTGAAATTAGTATGATATGAATTCCTTGGTATATAAATCTGATTGGGATAGCACTTATTTTAGGTAATTCCTGTGGAGTTGGAAAGGGTCTTACTAGAACGGGCATACATGCTTCTTTATGCAAGGTAATAACTGACTTTGAAGTTTGGTTCAAATAGATCCCTGTTTTATGTCTGTTTCAGCTAAATACCTTAGTTCTCCCAAAATTTAGGCACTCTCCGAGGACCCCAGCATTGGTAAAAAACGCTCCAGAGTCTCATGGTGTAAGATCCAAGAAAAGAGATCAGGAAGCAGTTCCTTCTAGCTCTAAGATGAGACTCGACTCCTATATTTCAAATGCTGATCCTTCCAAGGCACAGCAGAAGCATGGAAAGCACGTCTACTGGATAACATCAGATGGCTTGACCAGCAAGCAGTTACAATATTTAGAAGATTGGAGATTCCATCCACCACGTAGAATTCCTTCAGCAGATTCATGGAGTGAAAGTTCTTCCCTTTTCAGCAGCTCAGATGCAAGTTCTTGTAGCACCACAAGCACCAAGGACTCGGTTAGGGGTGAAGACTTCTCCGATTACATATTTGGTGGCATGGGACACGACTGGTTCAGCTAATATCGGATGCCATTGAATACGGGAGTGCCTAATTTTGATTCAGAAAGGGATTGGAGAAAGGATCAACAGGGGGATGAGAACCCTGCATTTTTGTACAATGACTCAGCTATACATCATTGGAGAAATAGTAGTAGTAGAGACAATGAATTTGAACAAGTAGGCTGGGCCAACCTTTATGATGTAAGGTCTGGTGCATCATTAAGAAGAGCAAGCGGAGATAGATCAGCTCAAGCATTTTATTGAGGTTTGAGTTGAGATGAAATCGAGCTTTTTTTTTTTTTTTAACTATCCTCATGATTCACAAGTAACTGTTCATCATTTTTTTCCCAATCCAATTGTGTTCTAAAATACCTTTCTGCTGTTCTAATTTTGATCTCTAAACTTTCCCCTGATTCACCTTTTTGTGGAAAGTCTTGTGGGCTGTGGATATGTAGTGGATGTTTCAGAGAAGGTGAGGATTTTTTGTTGGAGAGCATGTCGGGATCTTTTTGCCAGTAAGGGCTAAACTAATTGGAAGAGGAGTAAGTTATCCGTTGGAGTGTCTGTTATGTGGGAGGAGGGAGCTATGGTGAGGGACGCTAAGGGACAGGTGGAGGCAGGTATGGTGCAGTTGTTTCCATCTATGGGGACCCAATGGTAGTGGAGGGCATGGCAGTGAGGAGAGCTTTGGACTGGGCAATGGACATGGGTTATACAGGTTTTTCACTGGAATCAGACTGCCTCGAAGTAGTTCAGGCTGTATCGTGTGGACAGCATGAGCGGTGGAAGAAGTGGGGGTCTTTTGGATTGTTGGGGATTCTAACACACAAACGAAAGCAAGGATGGAAATTTACGTGGAAAATCGTAAGACCGGAAAAAAACTATGGAGAATGTGAGAACCCACTATAATCAAGCAAGAGTACATTAATTTGAGAGACAATCCTTCATCAATGGATGCCCAAATGATCTTACCCACTCTCACTCAATATCTTTCAAGAATCCTCACAAACCCACCCACCATTGGTGATGAACATTCTCTTACAACAGTGTCTTTACCTCTCAAAACTGTGTTCCTCCTTTAATGAAGATTCAGACTTAATTTTTTACACAACAAACATCTGTTTGATGTCTCTCTTTTCATAACTCTCTCACTCACCTATAGGATTCACAAATAAACATATATTTATGAGGGTCTTAAGTTTGGAGTATTTGATAACAAAAATAATATCATACTCACTAATAAAAAGTTATCACCTTATTAAAAAGTACCCTTTAACATTAAGTTCCAAAATTTCCTCATAAATTCTAGAATATTGTTGCTCTCTAACCCTTTTTCTTCTCCTCATAGGTTCGAGAACCTACCACCAAGGTTCCAAAAGCTTCGTGACTACTTTCCTCTCATGAACCTCATCTTGTTCTCTCTTCTAAGGACTTCAAGTAAATTTCAAGGCACATTCTCAACATGGATGATTTTCTCCATATATAGCTCATGATCTGGCGAGGTGGGTGGAGTTTGTGGAAGATGAAAAAATCTCGTTCAATGATATGCCTCCATGTGCTTATGATAATTTGTGCACAACATTGCTTGTAGTAATCTAGATTTCCCATGTCGCTTATTGAAGTAATGTAGATTTCTTGGGTAACTTCTCTCCTGATAGACTTGCAAAACGTTGAAGTTGGTTATCAAGAAAAAACTTTGATATTTAAGTTAGTATTGATTTAGAGTGTATCCCCTCTTTTATGATTATTGAATGTATATAAGGTATTTTTTCTCATTAACTTTGTATATCTTGGCAAGTTATTCACGTGACTTACCTGTACCCACGTGACTTACTTAATATGATAATCATAATATAATGTGCTTGACAGAGCAAACGTTTTACGTTAACATAACATACCTTAATAGAGTAATCGCATTACATGCGTGTGGTATATTTTGACGAAACAAACCCTTAAGAAAAACATTTATTTTACCATTCACATAATTTAAATTCAAAATTTTAATTAAAAATTAATCCTTTTCAATTTGAATCAATAAATTGTTAATAATATCCCATGTATTTATAAGAAATAGGGGTACAAACGAAACAAAAGAGGATTTAATAATTTCATTAACTGAATCAAAACGACACTGTTTTACCTCGATACGTGTTAAAAGCGGTCACCGGAAATCTTTGAAAGCTCGCCGTTATTAATTACGGAGAGAACAAGCAAATGTCCTTGGCGCTGGCAATACCACCACTAGGCTGCCGCTGCTGCCATCTCCATCTCCTCAACCACCGTCTCTCCGCTTCTTTCCTATCCACCGCCGCGGCGGCCAATAAGCAGATGGTTACCACTGCAAGCAGCAGCAGCAGCAGCAGCGGCGGCTGCAGGGCCGGCGAATACACCACCATCACAGAAACAGTGACGTTCGAGAAAGAAATCAAGAAGAGCAAATTCATCGCCATCGCTGGCTCCATCTCCAACGAACAATCCGCCCAGTCTTTCCTCTCTCAGGTCCGGGATCCGCGGGCCACTCACAATTGTTGGGCTTATAAGGTAAATTGCGACCTCTGATTGGTTTAACGATTGCTTAGTCTCTGCACTGTGAATTCATACGGAGGTTGGATTGCAGGTCGGCGACCAGTACCGTTCTAATGACGATGGGGAACCATCTGGCACGGCTGGGAAGCCAATACATTCTGCAATCGTATCTTCAGGTCTGGACAGAATTATGGTGGTCGTCATTAGGTAAATACAGTTCCTCCCAATGCATAAGCTTTTCCTACCCGTACTTCTAAGAAAGAAGAAAAGACTTATCTTTTCTTTTGGGTTTTATGAATTTCAGGCATTTTGGAGGTATCAAATTAGGAACTGGGGGCCTTGTCAGGGCTTATGGGGGAGTGGCGTCGGAATGCCTGAGAAATGCCCCTACTTGTCTTGTGAAATCTAAGGTAGGATCGAATTATTCATTTTTATGCATACCTTGATGGTGAATTTTGGGTGCTTTTTGGTTTCATGATGTCTATAATTTGCAATGTAACCTTAAATTGGTTCTTTTTTGGTTTTTTTTTTTTTAGGTTCCAATGGGTGTGGAGGTTTCTTTTGATCTTCTGGGAGCTCTATACCATCAGGTGAGCTTATTTCGATTCCTTTCACAACTTTCTTTAGTCGAATTCTGCTCTATACATAACCTAATGACATCAAGGGAAGCTGCATATGTGCTAGCAGGCCTGTTTAGTGGTTTCTCTTGATGGCTATAGATTGTGTGCATATTTTCTTATAGTTTGTCATGCTTGTATTCTACCATTCATTAAATTTAGTTTCTTATACAGCTATCACCTTGTAATGTATTGAAAACCTTACAGCCTCCTTGAGATGGATTCTCTTTTCCTTGTTCCTGTAAATTATGGCTCACTTTTCTGGCGAGTCATAGCTTCCTTGTTTGTTTGCAAGGGGCAATGTTGGAGTATGCGATTACTTTGCACTTTACCTTTCAATGGTTTTAGTATGGTATCTTAAACTGGAAACAATAGTAGTTCAGGTATAGACCAATGCAAGCAAGATTCATATATAAATTACAAAAGCCTGAAAACAAAAGGGGAAACAGAAAGTAAAGCCTCAATTGCTCTCTTTTCATGTCAAAATATTAACCAAAGTTTGATATAAAGGAACAATTTGATTCAATTGCTTAGTTATTTTTACAATAGCAAAGGATAAACTTGAGTAAAAGCCGAGTACCAGAAGGCCTAAGAATTAGGGATAGACTAACGCTAAACTTAAAGCAACTAAGCAAGCATTTTTTGGGCCAGAGCATTTTTTTTTTCCCATTCACATGTGTTCTTATTGCTTATTTTAGGTTTGGATTTAACATCTCTTCTAAAATTCCAGTCCTTGATGCCAAAAATCTCATTAATATTGATGTATGTAATTTGAGAGATGGAATTCTTATCACCATCACGTTGGCCCTGATTTTTGTTTTTTGTAATCTTTGCTGCTCAAAATGTGGAGCTTTCACACAGTTAATCTGATGTTTATCTTGACATCCTCTTGTGCTTGTTGATTGCAGCTACAGTCCTTCCAAGTTGAAGACATCAAACAGGATTATGATACTGGTAAAGACGGCATCACCATGGTCTCCTTCAAGGTTGATTTTGATAAGGTTGAGAAATTGGAAGAGGCAATCAAAACCCATTGTAGCCGGGAAATAGTGTTTTATAAACAATAAGACTGACCTATTTATCCATAAGAGTTGTCATCAGTTCCAACATACTATCGTGGAGGCAGCTGTTGCAAGATTAACATGTACTGCTCTTGTCTGCTGTACTGGAGCAAAATCTCTTGCCATATATAGGATTGGTTCTCAATTGCCCAATTCTTGTTTTGGGGAATTCCCTAGTACAAGGAAATTACTGAAAGTCACCTGTTACACAACTGCTATAACATAAAGAGGTTGTTCTTGACATCATTCTTTCATTGCAATTTCTAGGAAACACTATTTGCAGCCAATATACTGTTCTATTTGTAGAAAATATACAAAAGTAAGGGAGAGTATATTAACAATCATGCCTCTCTTAGAACAAGTTCTTCAATCCTGAGTCTGAATTTTGAGATACTTTTCTTTATATTTACAACGAATGATCATTGAGCACAATCCGATAAATTAGGCCTAGCCACAACCATCTGCAACGCCCTCTTGAGCACCCGCATCGCCTCATTTCCGCTGACCCCCTTCATCCATAGCTCCCCCTTAATCCTCCCACCGACCACCACCATCTCAGTCCTCACCACCTGCCCTTTCACCGATTGCAATGCCTTTGTCAGATCAGGGACCAGATCTCGCCTGTCATCACAGCTGAAAGTTGCCTTCACGAACCCACCATTGTTCTCAAAGTAAAGCAGACTAAAGTCATCCGTTTCACCAGGTAGCACACGAGCCATTCTTCCATGACTAGCTGCTTTCAACCCTTCTACTTTCTTCTGCAGGTCCTTAACTCGCCAGACTGCCTCCGTTAACACTGATGCCTTATCTATCTGTTGTATGATACGAAGGCAAGGTAATTATTCATTCATTTATACTGTTTTTCATCTGTTCGTAAATATACTAAAAATGCAAACTCTTTCTCTTTATCTCTTACTTTGGTCAAGTTTGGAAGGATGTTGCGGAGCTTATCAAACTGTTTGTTGATCCGCTTTCTTCGATCCCTCTCGGCCAAACTATGTTTGAGGGCAGAGTCTACTTTGGCCTCAACTTTTGACTTTGGTTTGGTGATTAAACTTGTGTAGTGGATAGCATTGGTGAGGATTATTCTACGACGAATGCCTGTTTGCCTTGAGAATATCTCTGAATTACAGCGACCTGGAATGTTTCTAACGCCTTGTCCTAACTGCATGTATAGAAAACAGAAGGAAAGACACTATTTTAAGAAAAATGAATGTAATAAAAGAATCAGAAAAGGAAATGAGAGTAATTGATACTACCCGTTGCAGCAGAACCATTGTGGGAGTTCTACAACCTCTTTGCTTTGTATGGAAATTGTTCCTTAGAGAGCAAAATATAAGACTTTATGTTACCCTTTTGTGGTAAAAGAATATATAGAGGCAAAATAACATAATCTTAGGGCAGAGGCGAAGAAGATCCAAAAAAATTTAGAAGATTATTGACTTTTAAAGCTGATTGAATAAGATATACATACATACATATACATACATATATATATATATACACACAAAAAAAAAGAGGGAGAGAAAACTTTTTCCACAGCAATTACATAAGACAACACAAAATATTAAATAAGAATTGACACTCTTTACCCTATTTAACTCTTGATATTCTATATATTTATTTATTTAATGACATATAAAGATTATAAAAATAAATTATTTACATATCATTACCATACATGAATGGAGAATGTAAAAATTGAGAGGTGGAAAATCTGATTAATGGCAATTTATTAGGGAAAATCGTTCACACAACGTTTTCTTACAATCCTAAGGTATACATTTGATTCGCAAAATCTCGGAAGATTTATTAGTATTTATGAGAATTAACAACTTTATTATCTCACAAGTTAAGGCAAAGAAATGAAGAAATGGAAATGTTATGATTTCCTGCATTATGGAAACACCTAATACTCGTTTTATTGATCGTTTCTTCTTGGCTGAACTGTTTCTGAAGACATGATCATGTGTCTCTAAAGATTGGGTGGTGTTTTTTTGTTAATCTTCAAAGTGATCAAATCAAAGACACCTAAACATTATTGTTGATCTTGGAGAAGGGTCATTCCACCAGTCAAATGTGAATTGAAATTCACCACTTACCTTCTGCAATTGAGTGCAGAATTGGTGAATTGCAAGGCAAAATTCCCAACATTAGCAAAATGAGAATAGCAGCTCACAACTAACAAGTATGATTCAATTATGGCACCTATTGGTGTAGAGTCAGCAATTCACAAGGCAATTCACCGCTAATAAATATGCATAACTAATTCTCTTGTTTCAATTTACATGTTATAATTCTTTATGACCATCACAACAAAAGCAGATAACTACCAGAACTATTTAGCTCTCAGTCTAAACATACAGTAAGAATAGAGCAGAGTCCACAAAAACCGACTTTTGAATAGCAATCAAAATCTCCAGAGAGAAAATAGTCCAAATATGTGATTAACAGACCATCCAGAATTAGTAAAACAAGAAGCTCAAGTAGTCATATAGTCCAAAATTGATATCAAATCACATACTTAGAAACTATAACATGATGTTTCCACTTTCCATTAAGTAGTAGCCACAACATATCAAGAGACTGTCAAGAAGTATACCATATTTTATTGCTTGCTTTACAACTATGAGATTAACAGAGCACATTGTGGGCACCTACTGCACAGTAGTGATGATTTCCTGTTAAACAAAAAGAAGCAGCTGCTCCAGCTAATTCAACTACTGTTAGAAACCACAAAGACAACTAAGGAATTTCATTTAAAAACCCCAAAAGACCTCAATGTTCCATTGCCCTTCCTTCCTCAATCAGAATCTCTTATGCAAACATATATGTCCTCATCTCCCTCAAAAAACTCCAGATCATCCTCATAACAGCCATCCCCGCTTCCATTTTCCACCCCCGTATTCATTTCTGGGACTTTTATATCTTCAATTTTCTTCTTCTTTATGCCCCTCCCCATCATTTTCTTAGTATTCCTCGCCACAGATTTCCTTCTCATGACCCTACTCTGCATACCTTCCCCTGAGTTACCAACTCCAGAAACTACTTCCTTTACCTGAAAACCATCATTCTTCGCACTCATATCCATGCCATCATCTTTGACCACTGGTTCACCCACTGTGGAAACCTCTTCTTTCACTTGATAACCTTCAGTCTTTAAATTTGAGTCTAAGTCATCATCACTATCATCAGAAATCACCACAAAGTTATCCACCTTCACATTATCTCCACCACCATTTTCTTTCTTGTTTCCCAAGAAATCACCAACAGGGTACCCCAATGGAAAAACCCCATACCCACTGTAGTACCCGTTTCCTTCATCCAGCATACTAGAAGGCGGTGGAGGTACTGCCATCCCGTGGAACCCCTTTCTACATTTCTGGCACAGCAAGCAACACTCTTCATACACCTTCTCATACTCGTACAAGTGGAAACAGTACGGACACACAGTCCAAAATGTAGCCTTTCCCCTCACACTCTCTCTATGCCCTCTCCCCCCCTGTTCTTGTGAACCACTCTCTATCTTCCTGTCCCTTTTGAACCCTTTCTCATTGCTGGGTCCATTACAGTTCTGAGTGCGATTTTGTTGACAAACATCTTCTTCCTTGTGCTCTTTGCCTTGAGGCATCTTGCCATTGCTATTTTCAGTGTCATACTGGGTCTTCCTTTTTGGGTTGGACAACACAGACCAAGCGTTGCGAACATGATTGAGGGCTTCCAGAGCAAAGGGGAACTTGTTGGTGGAAGGGTTTAAGATCAAGGCTAATTTCATAAACTGGTTTTGGATCAACTTTCTGTTATCGACCTGAGAATCTGGGACTTGGAGAATGGAGTAGTAGGCAAGGTGGTCGCTGGGAAGGCGGCAGTTCTCGGCGGAGATGATAACCTCTGCAATGGCAAGTATCTCGTTCAATTCGGCAAGATTTGGGTAGAATCTTCGAGCCATGATAGCGTATTTCCGGCTGGTGGAGAAGTCACGGCTGCTCAGTAAGCGAGAGGCCCGCCGGAGAAGATCGTCGGAGTCGAGCTCCGAGATGTCTGGCTCCATGGGACGGCGATGAGTGTGCCTTGCCTCAAAAGGAAATAGAGAAAAGAATGAAACAAATATTCGGAAATGATACAGTGTGTCGCTCATATACATGAATCATATGTTAAATACCAATGTTTTCCCCTAGGGATTAGATCAATTGATCAAAACACATGGTTTAGATGGGACTTCGATGGGACCGAGGAGTGAATGGTGTGTGATGTTAACATGGACGGTTGTGATGATAGATGGCCAGCTCAGCTTTAACATGTGTGATCACAACTTTGCTGCTTAGGCTGCAATTCTACAGGTTCTGTAATCCGTAGTCTGTATCTGTACCCTTCCCCTGCTCCTTAGCTCCTAGGTGAAAAAGGAGCTTAGGAGACTGAATCTGATACATTTTGTCCTCTTTGAGATACTGCTACAAAATATTTTCCTACTGTGCAGTTTGATACGAGACAGGAAAACAAAAAAGTCAGAAAAGAAAAAACTTTTAATATTAAAAAATTTGTTCCCATTTAAAAATTTTTGTTATATAATTTAATATACTTTAAATTATATAATAATTTTTTATATAAAATAACTATTGTTTTTTAGAATTAAAAATATTTGTCTTAAAAAAAAATAATTAATATAAAATAAATTTAAAATAAAAATACAATTATTTTAATACAGGGAGTAAATTTAAAGAGGAGTATTTAGTCCGTGAAAATTTTTTAAAATATAAGCTCAAAATTTCATTACATGATTTTGTGTAATAGTTGCATACATGTCATGAATTAGAGGAGAATAAATCAAATGGAAGGAAAAAAAAAACCTTTCTGCAGTATATTTAAGAAAATAAAAATCAGTATTTAGTCCATAAAAAGTTTTTAAAATATAAGCTCAAAATTTCATTACATGATTTTGTGTAATAGTTGCATACATGTCATGAATTAGAGGAGAATAAATCAAATACAAGAAAAAAAAAAACCTTTCTGCAGTATATTTAAGAAAATAAAAATCAGTTTCTTGTGAATCAATGACTATCTCTGCTTATTTGATGGCAACTTGTCGCCTCTGTCGGATTGTCAGGACGAGGTATGTATAAATCCCTGTTGAGGCTACAATACAGACTCCTATATAGTTGCAGACCGTTGTGGCGCAGACATATAGGTACCTAGAGGAAAAAAAAAAAAAAAAAAAAACATGGAGGGGATTTTTCCACAAAAAAAAAAAAAAAAAAGGATTAAAGCAAATGCTTCTCCCACAGATAATTGACAATGTCAGGATGAGCAAAGAGTAGTTCTATATATGCTTATCTAAAAGACTTACTTTGGGGAGAAAACACTCCAAACAAATAAATGGTTCCTCATTAATAGCAGCACGACAGTGTAGGCGGTCAATAGAATTGAATTCAAGCCTAGGGGAACCAGACAAGGAAGACCAAGTAACTTAATGAGAAGATTTCCAGAATCTGCCTTCTCAGGGATTACAAGATAGCTAGTGGTCTTCATGGAAATGTACAACAGCAAACTGAGAAGAACAAACATTGGCGATGCATAGGTGATAATGAACATTAAAATGCCTGAAAGCAATGTTGAGTGACTTGAGATACCCTGGCAACCAGTAAAAAATGTTGGAAATTAGATGATAAATGTCTCTAGTCTAAACTTCATATAATAAATTAGATAACACATGTCTGAAAGGAAAGAGAGGTGCACGTACAATGAAGGCACCAGCAACATCTATAGTAGCCAGCGTATTGCTGTTTCCTAGTGCAAAATGGCCTGCCATTCCCAGATAATACAATGCTGCAACCTATGACGAGCTCAACATTAGTACTGAAATGCAGCTAGTCCACAGCAAAAATGATTTACTGAAGGTTATACCATACTTTTCAAAGAAAGAAAAGGAAAGGTGGTGAGTACCTCCACCAACTCCTTGTAACACATCCCATCACTAGAATAATACAGAATGCTGGCCAATATTTGTAAAAGAAGCAATAGAATTGGTGTTGAATTAATAGGCTGTTGGAGCAATAGCTGCAGGAGACACCAAAATATTACGTATGCCCACCCACTCATGTATAAAGTATCTCTTAACTCCACCACTGGAAACTTATCTTGAATGCCAACAGAAACTAAAGATGGTGAGAGGATCTTAAGATTTGAGCTCATCGTAGATATTACTAAGGGAATAACCCATGGTAAGGCTACAACAGTTCCAAGTGTGGCTGTGCCAAGAATTGCATAGATTGCTTGTGCCAAAAATGTTGCACCAAAATTGGACGATGCAAGTGTGTCATCTTGGTATTTCAGGATATGTAGCAAAACCAATAATCCAGATATCAAAAAGCTAAACTTGACCATCATAAAAAGTTTTCCCTTTGATCCTAGTAAAAGTAGAGCAAACAAGCCTAAGCTAATCACCAGGATGGCTGAGATTAGCTGCACCAACTTTACAAGATCACTCCCAGACTGTTCAAGCCATGTTGAAATGTCAGGAAGACTAGTCCAGTTTACACCACCTTGATGCCAGCCTCTCAAAATTCTTCCAGAAATAAGGAGCATAATGACAAAAGGCAACCATAAATAATTCTTTCCCTTTTCTCCTTTGAACAAGCTAAAAGAATTTTGCGTGCCTATTGTGGTGAGGGACTGTGCAGATTTTCGAAGTAATAAGAGATAATATGTGGATAAGACAAAATGCCAAATATAATGCTCTTCCTCTACCATTGAACTAGACCCCATACTTATAATAAGGATCAAGACGACACCAAGAACAAACTTATCAACTAAGGACCACCTTTCTCTGCTATCAGTAGAGTTAGAGATTTGTCTGTTTGCTGGGAGGTAAACATCTCTGACTAGGCCAAATATAAGGCTCAACAATATCATACATGATATAAACATTGTTACCACTCCAGCGGCAAGTAGGCTTACAGGTTTCTGCAAAATAGAACTGTTAAACAAAGAAATGAAAAGGAAAGTATGACAATATGATATAATAATAGATGTCTTGTTCATACTTCAGTGGTTCGGCATGATAGCCACTCACTTGCAGATTTCAGAAACTTGTAATATGCTGCAACAGTGTAGCTGTAGTCTTTCCCACTAGAAGACCTGTTCAGATAAAAAAAAAAAGAAAAAAAAAACCTAATGGTATTAGGAATGCTTCTAACAAAAAACCTTTTCATGGTTGTGATAATAGTTGGCATGAGGAATAAAAACCCACTGAGAGCCTTTCTTAGATTTCCAGGAACTATGGAGGTCTGCAGCATTCTTATATAAGGAACAAAGTTTCCTCTCAATGCTATGATCACACTCATTAGTACAAGAACCCTGATGATTGCTAAATCCATCACATGGGAATTTTTGGCATGGTAAACCTGGTAACTCTTCTTGCAATAATCTAAGCAACTGCCAGGAATTTAATTCCAGTGCCCTCAGCTGTTGGTCATCTGAAGTCATCATAAGAATTACTTAAGTTCACAAAGCATACAAGGTACCACATTTCAACTCAAATTCAACAGTAAAAAAATTTGCTACAACACTTTCATCCATAATAGGGTACAGATAGGCACAAACTAGTCAAAGCATTTTAAAAAACAAATAAAAAGAAAGACAGGCCTTAGCCAGGGTGACATAGAAACCATTAATAACATGGTAGACCAACTTCTGTGCTTCCATTTGAAGCATCCTTTTTCAAATGACATCATTACAAGTTCCTGTAAAGCCCTGCTTCTTTAAGATCTTTCCTACCATACGAGTTGAAAGTAGTCAGAGGATAGTTTTCGTTTTCTTTTTCATTTTTTATTTTTTCAGAAAGAGATGAAGCTCCAAATATTTTGGAAAGAGCTTAGGAAGGTAAGGGCATTGAGAGGAATAAGGTTACAATGTCTGTCTTCATGATCCCCTTGCTATCTATTATTGCTTTACTCTGACTAACACACACACACACACACACACACACACACACACACACATATATATAGAGAGAGAGAGAGTTAGGAAAACCTTTAAGAGCATCAAAAGCTTCTGAGATAAGGACACCAACATTGTTTTTAGGAATTGGGACACCAAATAGAAGAGCTAATGTTGGTGCAATGTCAACCTGAGTGGAAAAAAATTAATTGAATTATTAACTCTAACTAAAAAACTAGATACAAATATTGAAATTTCAAAGCATTTTAGTTTTAAAAAAATATTAAGGTTTTGAATTCTAATCTTGTACTCAAGGTTCACATTGTACCAAAGGAAAAGAATATATCTTTCAACATCGTAGAAGAGAAAGTTGCAGATGCTCAAAGCCTTATTCTTATATTGAAACCCAGGAGTACTTTATGCAACTAGGTTTCAATGGTATGTGGTGAAGAATTATTAGAATGAAAGATAACCCATCAAATTTGAAATTTGAAATTTGTTAGTATTATTACCTGATGAGCTGTGTTTTGGATGGCTGATGCATAGTCAGAGGCATGATTTCTCAGGCCAATAACAAGCACTAAAGAATCAGTTTCTTCATATGAAGACCCCCCATGATTACCATTCTCCGTCATTCCATGATCACTCACCACCATCTACAGATGAAATTTTGACAGCAAAAGGTACATTAGTAATCTAAATCTAAATGAATTCACACCTCATAAGAACCAAAATGTAAGAAGGGAAACAAATAGTTCCACATAAGTACGAACAATGATAACATGGCCAAAGCAGAAGGTAGAATAAAGCTAGTACTAGGGAATCCTATGATGCTTCAAAATACAAGAAAAAACTATGATAAACAAGTTGCTATTCATATCTTATTGGCGCCTTATTGTCATGGTGGCTATCTTAGCTTCTATATCATAGTTATTGACAAAAGAGGGTGAAACTAAAGCTCTACAGGACCATAAAAGGGTAAATTTCTGAATGCAACAATTAGTGGTCTAGAATTCACAATGCTCAGATGAACTGAAATCAGATATCATAGGTAACTAAGAATGATAAAAGCTAGCCAAACACCGCATTGCCATTGGCAGCTGCTGTCTTGCTGAAACTTATGAGAACTCAACCATTTCTGTCTTCTCCACATGCAATAATACAAGGACTAGCATACAAATGATGCTGTTTGTTAACATTCATCTGGATATCAAACACTGAATCTGATGTCATTATCTACAAGTGGCTTGTGTTTATTTTCTCAATTACAAATTTTCTGTTGTCAAAACTAACAATTCATGGAAAAGTGTGATTGTCAAATGCTAAGCTAATGAAACCACATTAACCAGTCTCACAAGATTCATAATCAATATAGATCCAGTTATTCTGAGTAGGTCCAATAGATGGAAATCAACAAATTCAATGTGTTGAGTAACACAAACCAAAAGTGTTCGTTGTTGATTATTCTCTTGGGTCTCCATGGTTCTTGAATGAATCATTTTGACCACTTCATCCATCTCCATCAGCTTTGAGGGCATTAAGACACTAAAATATATGTTAAGGAAACATTAGACAATTAGAAAATATCATATTACTAAGATGGGCAAATTATAAATTTGCATACTTTTAGAGAAATTAAAAAAAAAAAAATCATCCTGGAAGATAAAATATAAAAATAAATAAATGTTAAGGGCAAGTGGAAGGATTTTTCTGGACCAAAGAAAAAAATAACAAAAAATGTCCACAAGTAATCCTTTATTAATTTATTGCTTGACCATATTTAGTAAAAATAGAATTACTAAAGATGTTTTAACTGTAAATGCCTAGTTGTGTTGCTTACATTAGATGAATGACTCTATCTGAAATTCATGACCTGTTCCTGTATTGTATTTTTTATGCATAAGTTGGGGATGGGGTATCTCCACAGAACATTGGCCCAAAGTAAAATTAAAACTAAAACTGGAAGTTATAAGTTTAATAATAGACTAATAGGATCATTTGCACTATTTCACATGGCAATACCTGCTGCGCCCACCAATATGCCCAACATGATCCACACCTAGATAATGCAGAATCTGGAAATATTGGTTCAGTGAAAATCAAAACACAACAAAATAGAAGTATTGACAAAAGTTAGGAATCAAACTTCCACCTTCTCTGATAACAGCTAAACACAATTACTAAGATAATTGTAGAGAAAACAACCAAGAAGCTAATCTAGCCTAACTCAATGAAGCCTTAATCAAACAAAATGTGACTCACTCTCCACCAAAAATCACTGTTCTTAGCATTTAAAGAAGAAAAGGGAAAAAGAGAGAAAGTTTGTAGAGACTAAAGAAATGTGACAGCTTGAAGGAAGGTGGCAAAAGAGTTCTGTGCACTTAGTAACAAAAGTGAAAAAAAATAATATGTTGTCATCAGTATCTAGAAATATCTTCAAAAGATAAAAGAAAGAGTCATTATGAACTATAATCATGGATCAGGAATTTATGCATATTAAAGAAAAAAGTTAAGATTTTTATAGTCTGAGAATCCAAACAGGAGCTAAATAGATATAAGCAAATAATGCACCTAATAAGTTTTGACAGAAGCCATATAACAGAATCTCACATGGCATCTGACAAAGACCATAACATTTATGCAGCAAATATTGAATGTTAGCAAAATGCAAAAGAACTACCTGTGTTAATATCAGAAATACATCCCAACCATAACCACCAATAATCTAAAAAGGGTGAGAATATGAAAGGAAACAATACTGACCAATAGATTCCAGTCATCTTTGCTGAGCTCATATCCCAAGTGTCGAGAAACATTTTGATCTACTTGCACAGTATCTTTAACCTGTATCAAGAACAAAAATAAGCAACTACTACAAAGTAATTCATTCAACAGCTATTCATTCACTGTCACTGAAAATGCACCAAGATGAAGAAGATTCACAAGAAAAATTCCAAAAAGAAAAGCTCATATCAACCAATGCAGTTATCCTGCAATTAAGAGGAGTAACCTATATCAACCATATGAAACAACAAACCTACAAGCTATTTAAAAAACAGTTGACACCATAGCACTAGCTGATGTGGTGGAGAAGCTTCACATTCCATTTAAAATATCAAATGCACAGTAGAGAGGAAAAACAAGAATCCAAAAATCTTCTCTCTAGTGAGCATAAACGGAAAGCATCATAATTCATAAGGATATCTTCACCGTACTGGCAAGGTAAATATACAATTAAAAAAGAAGATTAACCAGATCCACAATAACCCAAAGCAGAAGTATACCCTCCTGAATAGATAATTTAAAAGCCAAGAAAACAAGGCAAACAACCCCAACAATAAAATAAGCCGAAAAAGTAAAGCATTCCAACAAATGATTTATATAAAAGACTTACAAAAAAGCTGCTAACACCATCATGCCTTGTAAATAATCCAGGAAACAACTTAAGCCATGTTTCATCACCAAGCATCACCATTTTCCTACCAATCCTGAAAAACTGCTCTGCAACCAAAATGAACAGGGCACCAGTTTACATCCGAACAGGTTCATAAATGAACAACAGATGTCATCAATCATAGAACTTCAAGACTACATTATAATCTAACCAAGAATATTGTCATCCAACAAAGCCTGTGTGTTAAAATTGAATGCAACATCTAAGAATCCCCCAATTGCACCAGAAACCATCGCCTGCAGTCAAAAACCAAAAGAATGAGTGAGAAACAATACACTCAGTTCCTGACATTTTCAGGAACAAGCAACTACACATTGCCCACCTTCAACCGAGGCATTGTAACAGTTGGAGGTGCAGCTTTAGCATGGTAACCAATTGCCAATCCACTTGCTAACAAAGATTGAGTAAATGGCATGGCCTCCATTAATTTCTTACTCGGAGGCTGACCATCCTTGCCGAGAATGAATTCTGCTGGAAGACCATCAATAACCTAAACTAGTATTCTAGTAAATATGCCAAACTCAAACAAATCCTTTACATAACATCAGCAGAAATTAAAAGCAAGGCATAAATGCATCAAGACTTTAACATACCATTAGAATTAGCCTATCAAATGAAGGAGGAATACCAGATAGTTCCTGCAAAATGATTTCCGTGAGATCTTCCGTAAAGGAACTGAAAAGAAAAACCACGGAACTCCCTTTCTCAAACAATCGCCAACAAATTACAAAAGAAAACCAGAATGAAACAGAACCTGGTATAAGTGTTTGAGCTGCTCAGGATGCAAAGTCGTAACATTCCGATTCTCAACAATATCGCAAATCGGTTCGTAGAAACTTTCCGGCCCACTGATAGTAGCGCAAATCAGAATTTAGAAGTTCAGAATCATCAAGCTTTAACCACATCAGTGAATCTCCACTTTTATAAATATTGTAAAAGGCACAAGTAGGATGAAATCGTGATTTTCTATTCTTTAAAACTAATTTTCATGGAATCCAAACAGAAGTTGAACAGAGAACAAACCTCGCGCCGGAGAGAGAGGGTTTAACGGGGAAGAAGCCGAAGACAAAGAGAGAAAGACCAATGATTTGAACGATGACTCCAGCTACAGTGAAAAGAACCAATTTTGTGCATGTGAATTGCAGCATTGTGAATGGCTCGAAATAGGAAATGTTCAGAACTGAACTCCGGTGCCTCGTCACCGGAGCGGCGAAAGAGCAGTGAAGGAAGGGCGAAAGAGACTACTGCTGGAAGAAGTGATGCGAACAAATTATCGAATTCTTGCTAACTCGCAGCGATTTGTTGCGCAGTTAGCGAAGCAATGAAGCCTTAAAGAAACGATTTTTAGACTTGTCTGACTAAGTAAAAGAGTGCCATTTTGTCAGTCCAGACTGTAAGGTATTGAAAAGAGTCCGTAGTCCGTACTGAAAGACAATTCTTAAATTACTATCATATTTTTAATTGGAAAAAGTGTAAAATGGGAGATGGATTTTTTTTTTCTTTTTCTTTGAATAAGTTGCGAGGACGGGATTAAATCCGTTCGGAATGCACTTTAAATTGGTAAGATATACCCAAAGAATCAGATATGTAAAATGGGAGATGGATTGTATGATGAATTTGTATCACATTGTATCACACTAATATCATAGAGGAATCGGGTCTTGATATTGGACTTATGATAGATCATATTTAATAGTTTAATATAGTTTGTATTATAAAATAATTTTTTTTATTTTAAAATAATTATTTTTATTTTAAATTTATTTTAAATTAATTATTTTTTATTTTTTAAAATAATATTTTTTATTTTTAACTTTATTAGTATTCTTTTATTTTAATTATTATCCAATCATTGAAAATCTTTTTTTCTCTTTTATTTCTTTTTTAAAGGTAACATTGTTCTTAAATCTTTAATTTAGAGAAAAAATTAAAGTGACAATTATTTTGAAATAAAATAAAGTGTTTCACTTTTTTTTAGTGTAAATAAAAATATAAACTAAATCTAAAAAGAATTAAAGAATCTAACATTCAATTCATATAAAAATATATGATGTTAGCAATTAAGAATATGACAATAACATAACTTAATAGAAAATGTTGATACAATTTTTAAACATTATTAAATTATTTTATGAGAAAATAATTTTTAAAATTAAAGTGATAAAAAGTTAATATATTCATTACTAAATTTGGCTAATTTGATCCTATGGAGTTAAATATGAAAAATTCGTATTTGGGTGCAATTCTCACACCGACTCTTGTAGCATACAATCATAGATAGCGGTGTTGTGCTAATAAGCTTAGAGGCTTAAGGAGTTTGAACTTTGGAGAATGCTTATTTGATTTCCTCCTAGCTCATGCACAACCCTGACAACTTCAACTTCTTTTCTTCTTTTCTTTTTGGAAATAGGGCAATTTTTACAAATTCTCCAATTATGTTAGGACTTTGGAGATGGGGAAACTGGGAAAAGGATCCCTGATTCCCTGGAAAATCAAACTTCAAGCTTGGGTGAAACTTGGTTGGTGTTCCTACTAAAAGGAAAGTGGTGGTTAGTCACTTTGCCCAGAAGCGCAGAACTAATTTCCTCTCCCTTGTATTAAAGTACAAATTGTATGTTTAGTGTCCATTATATATGAGATTGAAAAAGACGAGGATGTTTTAGTAGTAATTAAAATATTAACAATAATAATGAGAATATTTAAATATTTTTAATAAATTAACATGTAAGTAAAATTTATTAAAAATATTTGAAGTTCATGTAAAAATATAAAAAATTTAAATTATTTTTGTAGATTAAT